ATTTTTTATTATTTGAAAGGTAATTACTCACTTTTGTAATCAACATCCTGTATTTGTCCATCATTTCTTGCGAATTGTCACAATTACTCAAACGTTGCCAAACTTCGCCGCGTAAAGCTTCAGGAATTCCTTGTTTTGTGAGTTTTATAAGAAGTTTTGGACGTTGTTCGTTAACTTGCCAGCTATCTAAAACTTCAGCCCAGCTTGCCAATTCATCTGCTGAGCAGTCTTTAGAAACTTCGCCTGTGCCGCTTAACATGGGTTCATCTCCATCTACACATATTGAAATATTAGCAAATATATTTTATATTATTAAATTAGCAAGTCAATTTTTCTGTAATTTAATTTATTACCTGAATCTATTTCTTCCTTAGGTGTAAGTGTGTCGATACTTGTCAAAGAGGGTGATCTGATTAAAGATGCCAGATTCAGAGCCAAATTTAATCTGTTTCTATCTAATTCACCAGATGTTTCTATACTTTGTACTTCGTAATGTATTTCTGTACCATCTCCAGAAATTACCTTTTACAAAAGAAATTAATATATGTAATTGTGGAAAATAACTTTCAATATGTGTAAACAATTAGATAAATATTTTTAGTGATAAGTAATTTTTCCTAAGAATATAAAATAAATAGCTTACCTCTTTGGAATTAAGATAAAATTGTTGCACGAGATTTCTTTTGTTAAAATACCAAAATCTCTCATTTTGTGGAAACACTTTGACTGGTGTTTCTATTACAAATCTTACTGGTTCTCGAATATCTCTTATAACGAGATCAACGGCAACAGTCATGAAAATTTTGCCCTCTCTGGGAGTTTCTATATTGAGAGTTTCCAAAGCAGGATCTGCAGGATCCCAACGTCCACAAATATTATAGCACTGTTTGTCTTGCATTATTGGTCCAGTATTAACTTGCTGTAAAATTGTTGTAATATTGCGAACATCTGAGCTGATTATAGACATAAAATTAACTTGCTGGTGTGAATCTCTCTTTACCATCTCGAGTAGTCGCATATCGCTATGCTTAACATTTCGCCCAGGACTAACAAGTACTCCAAAACATCTTTCAACCTCAAGCGTAATGCCACCTTCTTTACTGGACACTTGCTGGATGCTCAAACAAACTTGCTTTGCCACATTGCTTCTTAATTTGAAACAATTTCTATCTTTAGGGACTGTGCTATAAGTACCCTTTCCATCTTCTTCTTTTATTTCCATAGTGACTTCAAAAATGAATACTCTAGAATTAACTTTTTCACTACCAGCATTAAAACCATTGAAATCACTACCTGTCAATGAACTCGTCATTGAACGTGGTATTCTGTGAAATGCTTTTGAAAAGCAGGCTGATACTTGTCCAACCTAAATAAAATAATTAAGAGAATAAAATTATATATTATCTTATATATATTAACATTATATAATGATCACAAGATATTAACAAATATTAGTTGTAAATAATACTATTATGATTTATATATATTTATCTTGTTTGCATTTATGCGCAATTATATACACGAATGTATAATTAATTTGGATAAAATTTAAAAAAGAGAAACTATGATAAGAAGGTATAATCTTTTATATATATCTATAAGATAAAAACGTACCGCTTCGGGTATGTCACAGCGAAATACATGGCATTGATAAATGGCAGATTCTAAAGTGTCCCCGTGTGACCACGTGAAAGCAAAGCATGCCGAGCATGAACCAATACTCTCACCACGTGCATAAAATAAAATGCGTTGTACTTCGTAACGTGCAATAGCTTGTTGTGTCGCGGCATCATATAAACTGAAAAATTCGAATATAAATTAATTTATTATATCATCCAAGTAATTATGTTAATCTGATTTTTTATATACTTGTTACAGATATAAGTATTCTTACATAACTGAACCTTGCGAACTACTGGGTACTGAGACGGAAACTTTTATTCCTAAATTCAAAGACTGCTCTGCATTTAATATACTCATGTTGCGTTGTATTTCACACTCTGATTTTGGCGCATTTATTGCAGCTGCTCCCAGATAAGTAACACCATTGAAAATAGTACATTCTTGTTGAACATGTGATAATGTATTTAATTCTGGATCATAAACAAAAATATTTAAATTGGAAATTTATCATTATTATATCATGTTCATATACATTTTTGCAGTAAATATCCTTATATATATATATATGTATATATATATATATATATATATATAAATTTTGTTTACCTTCCTCAAGATAATCTTCAGGTTTCATAATATCCTGTTTCTCTGGTGCAATAACACAAGGACTAACTTCATAAAATTTGCTATGGCCTACTCTCTTTGTTTTTTCCTGATTTTGTTGTCCACCACCTGTCATTCTAAATTCACTACTCTCCATCTTTGAGTCCTCTGTTAAAATCTACAGATAAAGAAGATATAGGTATGTAAAATGTAATTTAGCATTTATCTGGCATGGATTTATAATCACTGTATTAAGATATAGATTATCTCTCTGATAAATTTATACATACCTCGCGGAGATTATTTTGCAAATCCTCCAAATTACCGTTATTGGCGATTTTTAACATAGGTGGTTCCAAGAGAGCTTGTTGCTGCTTGCTGGTACCTTTTTCATTCACAAATTCATATTCATCGCTTGTCGCCACTGATTCCATGGATTTTACACTCATGCTATCCTCCATAACTAAGTCTGCAATGTCAATATCCATTGTTCTACTTTTACAACTAACAATATTTAAAGATTAATTCATTATAATTTAAGCAGTCTTCTTTTTTGTTTTTTCTGAGATTCCTAAGAGTATTTATCATTAAGAAAAATTATTCAATATATCTTGATGGGCAGGTAGATAAGACATAATCTTTCAATGATTACTCAAGACAAGTTTCGAGTAGGAATCCCCTCTGTGTATACGCTTATCTGAATTATTTCAAGTTTCACTTATGTGTGAAGGACAACTTTATACATTCTATTGAGAACTTGGAAAGACCATATTTACAAATATTGCTCTGATACAATGACAGTAAACACGTACAAGACTACGACTTCCCCTCAGGAACACAAGTGGCTCTGTGCGTTTTACAGCGGAATTTTTTAATCTCTGTGTCTCTGTGGAAAGCAGAGTTTCTTTCAGAGGAGAAACGACCGTGTTATGGGGAAAAGTTTCTCCGTCTCTCCTTTCTCGCGCTGCGCTCTCAGCTCTGCGTGTCACCCTCGTGTCGCATCAGCGCGACCCATTAGAACGAGAGCCAAACGAATCGCGCGACGAGGAAATAAATTCGCGACGATGGCATCACCGTGAATACGCCCGTCGATCGTTTCCGCGATACCCGGACGTATTTCAGGCGATGACAATATTCCGTATCGCCCGCTTTATTTCGCCCTCGCGCCCTCGATGTCCCACTCTCGGTTATTCCCGACGAAAAATGCCCGCGGATCACCTTCTCGCGGCGTGAGTCTCCTCCCCCCCCCCGTGGCCCCGGATCGTCCGCGGTGACAGCCGCGTGTTGCGTGCTGCACGCGAGTCCCGTCTCCGGCGCGTGTTTCACCGGGGACCGCCACACGTCAGATCGTCTTCGCGCACGTCTCGTCACGGCTCCCGACGAACATTTACATGGTTTTCTCGTATTCCGATGGCGATTGACAGCGCGCTTGATTGACAGAAACAACGACGGGGGTCGGCCATTCGCGAGCATCCACCACCCAGAAATCTCTCTGGTAGGGATAGCCAGCGATATCGCATCGATACTTTGCTCTCGATGCCGCGATGTTTCGGTGTTTTACATGAATCTTCGATAGAGAAAAAAAATAACGAAAACTTGATAATTCTTACATTTCGACTAATTATTTCGAAAATATACAGCGTTTTTATCTGGTTATATTTTGGATTCGACATTTGCATCGAGACTTTATAGGCAAGAGTTTTTATATGACAAGTCGTATATCATTTTTTAAATTAATTTTATTTATATTCATGTGTGTGGGCAATCATATGTAAGGTCTTTTTTTTATTCAAAATTAATTTTATTCGGCAAGAGTGTACAATTAATTCATTATAAGAGATTTTTTTTCGTCTATAATATTGAAATTTTTGTACATGATAAATAAAAATTTTATAATATCAATAGCTTTAAATAAAATTATTCTTGTAATCTTCAACTTCATGATCAACTGAAATTAATTAGCACAAAAGATACACTTTTCTGTAATCTTATGGTATCGAAAAAGAAAAATTTAGACTTACCGAGATATCAGTTTTAAACAACGAAACTACACCGTCTCGAAACTATGAATCGAAATCTCTAAATATCTCGTATTAAACATGATGTCCTTGAATATTTCCTTCCTCTAATCTCGATATCGTTGCATAATCGTTTTATGACGAATAAAAGTCTGGTAAATAGATTTCTTCGATCGTAACATGTTAATTATTCTTTTATCACGCTTACGAAATATCGTATAAAAGAAATATATAAGAAATAAATGCGTGTGTGTGTGGGATATATATATATATATATATATATATATATATATATTTATTAAATATAAATATTTGTACGCAACATTAGATACCAAAAAAATTACTTCGAAGATCATTCGCATATAATTTATCGAATATTCTTAAAAGATTTCTTAAAAGATTTTTCACTTTTTTTGTTAAATCGAAATTATTGCGTAATATATGAAATGTTACTTTCGATATATTGCTTATTCCATTAATTGTTATATAATGTGTTGCATGTAATTCCATATTTTATTTTTTTACTATTTTATAATTTTCAATTTTGAAAATTTCGTTGTATTTTAGTCTAGAGAAGTAATGCTGCATCCGCATTTATTAAATTGTTGCGTCAAAGCTTGCGGCCAATCAAATACGTTTTCAGCCAATGATTTGAGAATACTCGAAAGATGGCGCAAAGATAGCGACAGCCAGTTTTAGGTATCGAGTTGCGTCACTTGAAAGTGCATTCTTCGCGCATGTGCAATCAAAAAGAAATCACGGGATAAATTGTCAATAACACACGTACAACATAATTCATTATAAAGTAAAATTACCTCCCGTTATCCCCTCACAGGTAAGAAATAAAAAAATATTCAAAGAAATAATATACATTAATTGTTTATTTACTCCAAACATTTAAGGTAAAATTCTGTTTCAAAAATAAAGAATTAAAATCAGAAGAATTTGTATAGACTTATATATTTTTAATCGATACAAAAGGTAGATTAAACTTTGAAAACTTATTCTCTAATTTTTGAAACATCGAGCATGTAAAAAATTAATATATATATAATGCTCAATATATCATTTAACATAGGTGTTTTTCAGCAAGTGATACAGAGGACACAGTGTTATTTTTCGGCAAGTAACCGAGGACACAGTGTATCATTTCATCCTTGTTGCCGAATGTAAACAAGGATGAAATGATCCACTGTGTTACACGTGGTTACACTGTGTCCTCTGAGTCGCCTGAAAAACGCTCATACTTTATATATCATTAGCATAAATATCAAAAGAATAGAGAAAATTTATATAGATTTTCACATTGTATTTAGGAGCACAAATTTATGAAGGCGGGACTCATGCATACGCACAAAATTCTGGCCAATGGAATTTGATCCGATCCTTCTACAATATACGTATTCGATGACAGCGTCTGACAATGTCAATCAATCCAACGACGTATATACATATATACGTACGTGTGAGATATTGATAAAGGTATTTGATAATTTGTATTTGTTACGAACAAAGTCTCTCAGTTTACGCGAAGAATAAATACATAAATTACTTAATTTATTTCAATTGTATCCGCATATATATTTCGCATTATTTATTAATTTTCCAAAAATGTATCGCTAATTTTATCGCATTACATTTGTCAGATGCGCGTTATTCAAGAAACGAAAGTAATGATGCTTTAAGAATAAAATTATCATTAAAATTTTATTTCGTTATTGCCTTTTTAAATTAATTATTAATTAAAATGATGATTTATTTCTCGAGTAATTAATAGCCATGTTGCGCGAATATTTAGAAACGAATGACGCATTTTAATTTACATCTCGATAAATAATTTCATTATTGACTCTGTGCGCGCGACAATGACATCTTTTTTCTCAAACTAGATACTTCGCTGACAATGAGATGGCGATCGTCGCGCATGCGCGGGAGAAACTCGGCCCGTATCACAACACAGTTCGTGCAGTTCGGTTCAGTTCGTAGGCGAGCCAGACGAGCTCAGTTTGGTTCCGTTATATCGGACGTGACGAAGCGTTCGCAGTCTCTTCGTTTCACGGGACTCTCGCATTCTCGCGTCGTCGTCGGCCTCCGTCGTCATCGTGGCAGTTTATAGTGACCGTAGTAGTGGACGACGTCGCGAAGAGACGCCTGTGTGATCATGAAAAGTGCGAGGATGCGTGAAATCGGCTAGCGTGGTGGACCCTACGAGAGCGTACGGAGCACGGTAAGTACCATCCGAATCCGAAAAACTCGTCGGTAACCTCAAATCCTCCCATCGAGATTAAACGCGAGAGAACGAAAGGTCGTCGAGAGGTTATAAAGTCGCACCTGCCATCGCGCGAGACGGGATCCCGCGGTCGGGATTTCCATTGCGTCCATTCGACATTCCTCGAGAGATTCGCGCGCGAAGGATCACGTCCGCGGCATTGAAAGATTAGGCTCTCTCGTGACAGCTTCCAGATCGATCTAGAGTTAGCGGGTGGCGCCAAGACGCGCGCGAGAGGTTATTGCGAGGACCAGCGTCCACCTCTTCCAATGAGAGGTCCCTTTCATCGCGATTACGCGTCGTACGCGCGTGTCCCTTCCTCGTCGCGTCGCTTTAATTTCGTAGTCCCTCCCCTCCCAGGGGATCGATGTAATCTGACGTGTGGTTTGACGGCTCCCAAATGAAGCGCACCGAGCGATTCACGCGTATAAGGACAGTGTCCTATCCGTCTAGCGCTGCCGATCTGTCAGCTGTCAGCTGGCTGACGGCTAACCGGGAGTGATAAAGCGCGTTCTTATCGTCGCCGCTTGTTTTTCCGTGCTACTTTCACGAGCGTCGCGTGCGCGAATACAACCTGCATCTACGAGGCTGTGATTAGGCATTCTAGGTTAGGTCGAGCATCATCGATACGGGCGACATAAAGAATCTGGTAAAAAAAATTAAAATATCGTATCTATTTTTTTCTCTCGATTGATATTCATATACGACGTACTTTGCAATTGAAAAATACGAGGGAAACTAATTTGTTTTTATTGTTCGCGTGAGAAAACTGTCCGTGTAAATCCGAATAATTCCGTTTTATTTGAGAAGATTAACTCCGCAGATTATTCCTGTCGATGGCGGATTATATGCTTCTCGATTTATTCTTGTAATTGTTCTCATCCAAAAATTGAATCAGTTAAGCGAGTAGCGAAATTGTCGAGTAGATCTCAATGATGCTCAGTGATCAGATAATCCGTTATCAATGAATATCCTCTTAATTTTTGAAACACAATCGAATAGAAGCAACCTTGAATGAGAACTAAATTCTTCCGAGTAAATTTCTAAATCAAAATTTTGCGAGATGAAACTTTTATTTCGAAAATAATATTGAATATATTTTATTTTATAAGATATTTTATTTTTTTATCCGAGATGATAAATTAAAAAAGTGATTAAAATGTTGATTTTAAATTCATATTAAATATTGAGTCGTTCAATTGAATTATTAAAGATAACATTAAAAAAATTTTATTATTTAATAGAACTGTGCTAATTTTGATCTTTTGACTAGTTGATTTTTTTAATTAATTTGGAATCACTTTTTTTTTTAATTCTCGCGTTGTTATATTTTTCTAAAACTTTTAACGTGCAATCAGTTTTAAATCTCTCTTGTAACTATAAACTTTTATGAAATAAAAGTTTATTAAGTAAAGACTTTTTAATCCAAAATATTTAAATGAAAAAAAAAATGATTTTGTTTATTTAAATATAATTATTCATTTATATAATTTTATACTGTATTTAGAAATTATATGTTATGGGAAAATATATGAAATGTATACTTTTTTCTTTAAATTTTAATTTGCAATGAGAAAAGTCATATTTTAAAATGCGTTGAAAACATTAAATTTTCTTGTTACGTCAGAAACGGCTTAGCAAATATTTTTATCGCTTTATTATTGATCTTTATTTTTCTTTTTTTTTGGGGGTGACTTAAGTTGTTTACAGTCAAACTCGTATTTTCTTTTTTACAAATTATTTTGAATGGAACTGTTTCTGTTTTCGACTTGCTGAGTACGTCACATCGACGCCTCATGCTCATCTAATTTGCTTTCCCGAAACTCGATTCCAGGAAGCGAACAGGCATTTGCGGAAATTCGTTTGCATTTTTGAGCGCAATTAGCATTTTTTTGAAATGTTAATTTCTTTAATTTGCACTTTACAATGCCTCTTAGAAACAAGTCAGTTTCTCTATGACATATTGATACGATTCGTAATTTGTTAAGACGTTAGGTCAAGCTGTAATACGAAAAAATAGCAAACTTAAATTAATTATTTGGGTATTGCTGAATAAAATATTTGGCGATTTCCGTCTCTATCAGGCATTTGTAACTTTCCGACGCGATGTGCTTTTAAATGACCTATATTATAAAACATATATGATTAAAAGTGATATATTAACAAGATATAACGTGTAATTATATAAACAAAATATAATAAAAATGCCATTATCTTGGCAACTTGTTTGAAAGATAACATTCCGCAGACGATAGAAAAGATGAGAAAAAGAAAGAGAAATAAAAAAGAGAGATCGAGAAAAAAAGCTATCGATGCTTTGTTTTAATAGATAATAGAATTTTTCTGGACCTTTCGTTTCTATGTAATCATAAAATTAATTTTTATTTTTATTGTGCTTGAATCTCCTTGATGGATATTTAATTTTATATATGTTTACTTGATTAAAATTGTGAAGATTTAGAAATTATATATTTTTTAATTTTATTGCGATATTAAAATATACATAAATTCAATTCTCTCGATTGTGTCTTTAGAAATTTACAATGTAAAAATTTGCATTATTATTACATTATACATTGAGATATATAGATGTAGATATGGAAATAGATATATAAATATAGATACATAGATATAGAAATATATAAGTGATTCATATATTTTCATGATTACCTGAAATATTGAGTTGAATAATTATTTTATTGAAAAATAAATATTATAGATTCAGTTTCTAGGAACTGTCAAAATGACGGAAAATGTTTTAAAATAAAAATATATGCAAATATAAGTCATTATTATTACATTGTTTGTAATATGTTTTACTATTTATTTATTATTTATATTATTATTATTTATATAAATTATCTAAAAACTTTTATATATTTATTTCATATAGCTTAGATTTCAATATTTTAATGAAAAGAGTTTTAATTATTAAGGCGAAAATACTAACCAAATTAGGCAATTCGGATAATTTTCGCGTTTATCAAATGATAGATATCAAGATTAATTATCTTGACTTTATTGAATTTTTTGCGTCTATTGTTTATTCATTAGTTTCTGCTCACGTGAATTGCGCGTGACAAACCCGTCAAACTTTTTACCTTCTCGCACTATTTTCCTACGATCGCGTAATACAATTCCAAACTTTGTTTGCAGTTCCGGAGGACAAAAATGGCGCTCGAGTATGTTAGCTGTACTTCTTCCTATTGAACCTCGACGCGACGTTGACAAACATAGAAGCGACAGACGACGTCGATGAAGCATCTGCGAGGCAGAATCACCACGAAGTCGTCATTCGTTAGGTAGCTCTTAAGACGTTCCTCTTGCGAAGAAGAATTCACGGTAAAAATCGCGCGATACAAATCTCCCTCGCAGTCCATCCAAGTGCTTGCGACGCTCAAGAAGCAATCTTGATTTAAGAAATTGGAAAAATCCCAATCGGAGGAACAGGAGAACTTTGGCAAGGCTACCTCTTTTCCGATCTATTATATTTTCCGTAATTGAAAAGTCGGGAATGAATTTCCTTGCGCGCGCGAAACGCGAGACGGTGAGATTGGCAAGTGCGTAAAGTGATAATCAAGAAAATACGAACGACCGGAAGTTGCAAATCGGTCGCGAATGCATCGACAGGCCGAAATCATCCGTCGTTGAATCGAAATTAAGGTTTCTCGTGAAATCGTTGGAAGCCACGGTGGGTAGACCCTCGAGATCCTCGCTTGCCGCAGGTCCGGGTACCTGCACGTTACACGCAACAGGCATCAAAGTGCGGTGCCCCGGCCTCAGGGGTGAGATGGCCTTCATGATGAAGAAGAAGAAGTACAAATTCTCGGTGGAGGTCGACCTCGAGGAGCTCACGGCGGTGCCGTTTGTCAGTGCTGTACTCTTTGCCAAGCTGAGGCTCCTGGATGGCGGCTCATTCGTCGATCATTCCACTAGGTGAGTGTTGCATCTTGATTATAAGATTAGATAATCGTTACCAGGCGATCGTTAACGTGGCGATTAATACCACGAGTTCTTCAATTTTTATTTCAATTTTATTTTATATAAAAAGACAAGCCTATTCTAAGCACAATCAAGAGAGATTCCATCTTTGTACCTCTATATATAAAATAAAATTTATTTTCGAAATATTATGAAATACATACAAGATTTAATTCAATACCGAGATTAGATGAATGAAACAGCTCAGGAATTTTGTTGATTGTTATGATTAATTACATCCGACATGTATGATTTTTAGTATTTCATATTTTATTATATATATTTGACGGGCATTAATCTCTGAGCAAAGCTCTATTTCTCGTCGATTCGTTACGACGAATGGCGTTGGCGTTTTATCGACGAGCAACTTTCATGACGATTATCAAGATTTATACCGCCGTCCGTAGAACTCGAGACTTGCCAGAAATAGATTCCCGACTTATATCAGAAATAAAGACTTTAGCTATGCTCGGCGCGGTGAACTTTGCGGTGATTTTTTTATGTAATAACATACGTAACAATTCTATGGACTCGAGATTATCGTTCTTAATACATTTTATTATCTCGTTATCCGGTTATTGTGTGAATCCGTCAGGTTTTTATTAATATTTGCTATTAATTTTATTCGTTATCAGTTTATTCGTAATCAGTTAATTTTATTCGTTATCAGTTTATTCGTTAAATTGCTTCGCATTTGCTGATATACTAGATGCACAAGACTCTAAATGCTTAGAATACACTCTGAACATAATGCGAAAATTCACTGCTTCACGTATAATAATGTTAATAATGTTCAGAAATACCATTTGCTTGAAATGTTTGAGAACGTTTGAAGTAGAATGCATATATAATTTCGAAATAACGAGAAAGTTCAACATAAGAGAATCTTAATGCACGTGTCTATAGAAAATCCTGTAGAGTCTCAAAAAAAAAAAAAATAAATAAATAAATAAAGTAAAGTAAAATTTTATTACTTTTAGTACCGTATTTTTTTCGAAATTCAGAACAATAATATTTCGAAATTTGGATATTTTATAAAAATACAATTTTATGTATATCAGGAGAATTTCATTTTCATAAAATTTTTTATGTATTGATTTTGTCTTATACAAGCAAGAGCTCCGCTCTCTGTATTTCAATCGAGAAGAGCGGGATTACGAGAATTATAAGAACTTTATTCCTGGCGATGATGCAAACTCACGCACGTTAGGATCCTCCTATGGCGGAACGCCGCAAGGAGTTTGTATGGAATTTGCGAGCACGTAATGGCCCGCCATAGTCGAGATCTATATTTAGCGGGACGCGCAGTTTGCTTTTTCTGATGAACCATTAAAACTTCGTCGAACCAAGCCGGAAGCTCGTTCGGCTTTAGATAGTCTCGAGTCGCGGAGCCTTTATACACCTAAGCGTGATCTTAAGCTGGATAACATATGCCGCTAGTGAAACGGATATGTATGCATATAAGTGCATGAAATGCGCTATGCTTATCATAAACACTAGGTACGTCCAAAATGTCATGGGTGGAGTTCGCTTCGCGAGGCAGGAAATAATTTTTGAAAAATTACTATTCAACTTTTATAAGATTTTGATATCATAATTAGAAGTTGTATCAATTGTAATTAAATATATATATTACATATATATATATATATATATATATATATATATATATTACAAATATATATATTATACGTAATTAAATTTTTAAAAAATTTTGAAAAATATATACTTGATGTAAAAAAAATTAGCTGCATATTAAAAAACGAAAAAAATATTTTTCAAATTATTTTCAACCATTCTTAATAAAGTTTGTCATCGTTGCCATAGTTTGACGAACGGAGCAAACTTTTTGAAACAATTTGAAATAATTTAAAAAAATGATAAAAGAGTCATATTTCATTTTAATACACATATCATGGTTTTTTTATTAAACGAAGATAGCCGGAAGGAAGCCATATAACGATCAGCTGTATTGACGATCATAAAACAGCAGTTCCGAATAATACTCTATTCAACAAACATTCGAGATACAAGTGTTTCCTCGTGTGGATGAGGTAATTGTCGACGATGTGTTGTAATTATGTATGCGACAATGCTGTAAATGTTGATTACGTAAATGCGCGGTACATTCGTCGATACTCGCGCGTTAGATGAATTAGCAGGATGTTTATTACCGCCGAAACAATCTGTAATACGTTCAAGATCCAGATCTTACAAGTTTTATTTTTAGTTTCCGTATTTACGCATTTGCACTGACATTTTGCGATTTAGCGGCTGAAAAAACAGCTGGTATGCCTCGCGTGACTGTTCACGGTATCCTTACTTCGATACTACTTTTTGCTGCTAACTTTCGCCTCTCTCCAGTATAAACGCACATAAATATAAAGATTTCTCAGAACAATGTGCTCGAACGGTTGAATGTTCTTTTTCTTTATTTAATAACCGTTGCGGATATATTTTAAGAGCAAAACTCGAATCGATTTGATAGAGCGAGCCAGTCGAAATCGATGAAATCGGAACGCGCGCGAGAGAAATATAATAAAAAATTCGACGATCTGGAATTGGTTCCAAATTTTTTTACTGTCACTCAACCTGTAAAAAGAGATATTGAAAAATCTAGGACCCTCTTTGCATGTCATACGAATAAATTTGTCAAATATACAACGAATGGTTGCGCGTAAATTCGTACTTTTCATTTCTAGAGGAGCCTTTCGATCATCTTTTAACTTTTCTGTAACACACCAAGTGTACGAAATGAATAGATTCAAAGTAGCTTTAAGCTTTCCTAGCAAACTTGAAAATCATAGAGTCCCCAAAGAGAGAGAGAGAGAGAGAGGGAGAAAAAGAGAATTCACGTTGTTTAAAACAAAACAAGCCATTGTCTTGCAACGGGGAAACCAACACTGCGATATTTGCATCCCGTGCATTATGCGCGGCGTCGGGTGCTTTCCTTTATATAAGTAGAATAATGTTTCTCCCCGTGTGCAAATGCGTGCGACATAAATTCCACCATCATTTGCGGGCGCTTTTGCTTAACGACGCATTTCACCGCATAAAAGATAACGTGAAACATGAAGTATATAAATCTTTCTTTCTTTTCTCACAAGTGGAACCTTCGAATCTGTCATTTCTCCCATACGTTATGTTTATATTTTTGACAATACACCTTCTCGCCCTAAAACACAAATATAAATATATAACAAAGATAGATATGAAAATTGCGTGGAACGCGTATTTTTCACATGAGTGATATTTATCTCGCGTCAGTATTTATTTTTTCTCTTATCTCTCTCCATTTCATTTTCGAATATTATTCCGTTTCTTTGTTACGCGGGAGCTATATTTTTTCGTTCGTTATTGAATGGCGAAGTCGATAAAGTCAGTCGCGCAAAAATGATCCGACTCTATGACGTATACCGGTCGCATCCGCGTGAAACCGCTTTTTAGAACCGCTGCTTTTATTCCGTATATCGGCGTAATAATAGTGGCATCGGAAAACACACGAGGATCCTACCATATCAGAATAGCGTCCGTGAGAGTCCATATCATATCCTACAGGGTAATATCAATTTTTTCTAAAAAAAAAAGAAAGGGAAACAAAGAAAGAATTTGCGCGATAATAGCGTCAGATTTATAAATTGCTTTTAATTCTTCGTTTAGTTAAAGTCATTGTCGAGTTCCTCCTTTCTAATCTTCACAACGTTAATTAAACCACTAATGAACTACGGTCTCATATTTTATCCAAGAAAGAAATGCATCGTGTTAAAAGTAATTAGAATTATTCATGGTGATATGGTTACAATCTGTACATCAAATTGTCCATGATAATATGATCGGAATGATAATCTGTCGATACTTTTGAAATTGACGATGGGGTTTATGACATTTAACAGTCTTTTATTTTATTTTATTTTTTTCAATTTATTTCAATAGTGCAATTTAAAAATTATAAAAAACTAAGAGAAAAGAACTTTTTACATATTAAATATAAATTTCCTTGTGTTAGAAAATTCTTTTTATCTCAATTAATTAAAGCAAAAGAAGGAAATGCAAAATATATTACATTATGAGGCAGGAAGAATAGCTTTTTATGATTATATATTTTTATAGAATCTATAGAGAGTTGGATTTTTACAGCAAAACATAGTTGAAAAGGTGAAGCAAGGTCGCACATGACAAGGCTTCAGATAGTTCTATACTAATCTATTGGTATACGTCTATCGATTAGCTATAATGACTTCAGTTTACTGCACATAAGATAACTGCTGGGTTTACAGAATGTGCTCTTCAAGGAAAGATCGTCAATTAACGTGAATAACTTGTAGGATTGTTTCTTCGATGTACCCTGAATATTCACCGACCTGAAAATGCACAATGAGATAAGAATGATGAAATAATGAAAAATTTAATCGTACAAGCATGAAAACAGGTAACTATTCAGGCAACATTTTACAAAAGATTACTGTGAAGAAAGATTTTTTAACGAGTTATGTTAATCACGCGCGTATTTTACGATGTACTATATTAGCTGAGGTAGCATACTAATCACGTTATTAATAACGTGATTATTTCGCAGAAGACAGTTTAGTTTTTAATTGCGAATTAATTACATGTATCATCTCATTGCGTTTTCAGTCATAACAAAGGATGCATTATGATAACGTACCGCATTGACCTACTTTTTCGCCACGTATTTAACACGCCAACATAAGTAAGCTGTCATAAATCTTACACAGTTATCGATATTCCCTATTAAAGTTTCCGGATGCTATAATTTTGAAACTAATTTTGCATTGACCAAAAACATGAAAGTTTTATTATAAATTAAGCTGTGAAGATACAAATAGTTAGCGAAGTATCATTATTTTTCTTAAATACTCGAGAAAACTTTAATTAATATAATTTTAATTTCCGCTTTAACTGTCGAGATATTTAACTTTGGAAATTAAAAAGTT